TGTAATACTTTAGGCAATTCATAAAATTATATTGAAATATCTGGCAAAACAAAGGAAAAAATACCTTAAATGATTGGATATAAACTTTTGCAAGCTTGCCTAACCATAGATGAGTTACTAAACTTTCATTTGCAAATATAGCCTACGTTTAAATTCATGATTCATATGATTAGAAATGGATTTGAGTGAAATGTCAATTTCTTTAATTCATATAATATTTTCTTGCTTTCAAAATTAAAAGGAATAATCCAAAAGAAAATTAGCATTATCATCTTCTAGATTTCTTCAGATACAAATTATTGATTACTTTCTATTTTATTCACCAAAGGATGACTATGAAATATATTTTACGAGTAGTCGAATATCAAGTTAGATCTGCTTACTGAGAAATGGAGCAATCTCATAATCCAAAAAATCCTATTGATTTAAAAAATCATAGAACCGAGATATAATAAGGATGTAATATCTTATTAAAATAATTCAAAAACTTTTAATTTAGTTATAACATAGTGGCCATTTAGCAAAGGTTCTTAAAATATGCAGAATAAAACTAAAGATACTAGCAGCTCTAAGTAGACTCAAATAAGGTATAAATAGATTCATTATATTAGAACAGTAATAAAGAGAAAGATGATGTTGGAACAATTATTATTATTATAAGTATTATATATATCTATAAGAATATCTATAAGAATATTTATTTTGATTTTTTTTTAATTAATAAAGAAGAAATAAACTCCATTTATGACCATTATTTAATTAAGGGCAAATCACCAAAAATGGACCTGCATGCTTTGAAAATAGTGTTTTAAACTTCTCATCCTTTTTCTCTTTTTATTTTTTATTTAATGATTATATATGGGTTAAAGATACCCTAAGAGATGAAGAGTTTCTCATATAGACCTATAACAAATTACGGAACATAATGTATATTTAATAGGAGTTTATATATTATAATAAAAATGAGGCTGCTAATTAATTTAGATCAAATTTGTCTAGATTGAGTTTTATACTACATTGAAGCTTAGGATCAACTAACTTAAAACCAAAAATTACTAAAGGTCTATATAAAAGAATTCTCCTACAGAAATATAATTATTTTGAACCTTTTATTTAAACGCAGTAAGGATATGTGAATTATAATTTAATACTTTTCCAATTATCTTAATAGCTTATTCATATTGACATAATCCCTGTAATGATTTACCTATTTTATAAATGTTGAAAAACCATTTAAGTTTAATAAATTAGATGTATTTGAAATAATCAACATGAAATTTCTTATCATCCATATGTTTACTATAATCATAATTTTCTCATAAACTTATAGTTTTAATATCTTTTAAAGATTATGATTTTGATCAATTATATTGCAGCATCTAATAATTTGATTGCATCTTCATATTTATAATCATCTAATATAGTTTGTACGCTAAATTAATGATATGAATAGCTTAGAATTATAATTCTTTTAATATTGATTTTTCTTATTTATTTAATTATTATTACTTTTCTTGATTCATTGTTATGCATTTTAATTGCATATCTACTTTGATTTAAGTGGAATTTCAACCGATTGATTAGTATTTTATTTCATTTAATCCTATTATCTGAATGTAATTGATTTATCAAATTTATTTTAATATCATCATATTGAATTACCTAAGACAAAGCTTAATACAATTGTATTGTATTAATTATTAATCTTTCAAAAGAAAATTGTTGTCAATTTTTAATTTTAACTAAAATATTAATTCCTTTATCTCTTCGAACATTAAAAATAATTAATACAATTAAAATTGTTTAATCCTTTGGATGAGCACACATGATCTATAAAATGAATTTTCTTTTTTCTTCGATTTTTAAAGTCGATTCAATACACAATTATTTGTTGAATGAATTGAAGTATTGTTAACTCTGATTCAATAAAAAATAATATTAATCCACAATTTTTATCAAGATCTAATTGAAAAATTTCTTGTTATATATCATAAAACTGATGTTTTTATCAATAGTAAACTTTAGTTAAAGTTTCTAAAATTTACCCATTCAACTTAAGCTAACTTTATTCTGATAACTTCATACTTTCTATATCAAATCGATATGTATATAATAGAACTGTTTTGGAAACTATGCAAATGACATACAACCTAAAAATTCTATCGTATTTTATAATATAATTTTCTGATTTGATGAAAACAATTATTCATCTCTTTCTTTTTAATCTAATTTATCGATCCTTTAATATAATTTATATTTTGATAAAGTAATATTTCTTATAATTTTTAGTCATTATAATCATGTATCTTTTTTCTAAAATGTGCATTTATTTATTTCTATTAAATTTTCTTGAATGCTTAGAAGTTCTAATTATTGTTAAGAGCATCCGAATAGTAAAATTGTTGGGATTTGTATTACAAATTAAACCAACGAACTTTTGAGAAAGGTTTGCATGGAATGCAGTTTAAAATTTAAAATTCCTAAAGAATAAATAATATCCTTATAAGATTTATAGAGCTAATTACTTATAAAATCTAATTAGTTAAATATGAACAAGATATTGGAATCTAACAAAATTATGAAAACATTGAAATATAAAATTGAATAAAGTTAGAAAGAAATAACTTTAATAATGAAAAATATAAGAGATTAAGTTGATAAGATCATTGAAGATTAATCGAAAGAGGATGAGAGATTTCTGAAACTCGTTAATGAAAATTTGAATCCTTTTGAATGTTCTTAAGCAGATTTAGAGTTCCTTGTCAAATTTTTAAAAGAAGACACTTTTGATGAATGGATTTAGAGGAAACAATTGGTTACATCTAAAATATAGAAAATAATTGTATTTGTAGAAAGAATAGTATAAAGTGGATATAATTTAAATTTTCTTCTTGATTAAGTTGATAATAATTTATAAAGCGCTGATAACAAAAAAAAAGAAACTATTCTCCGATTAAAAGGATTAAAAGGGTAAAACAATAAATTAGTGAACACAACATTTTATCTCATCGATAAATAAAATGGAGACAAAGTTTATAAAAAAGATAGTTAGATACTTAGGATGTATATTATTTTTTTATGTTAGAGAAAAGTTTAGATTAGGATAACTAAATGAACAAATATTATTTAACTTGGAATAAATGAAATATTTAGAATATAAAGGATAATACGGAATAAAAGGATATAAAATAAAATAATGGAATTATTTTTGGAAAGGATAATAAGT